AGTTTTAGTCTTTAGTGTTTTCCTGCCTGGAACGCTTTGCGTAATAGTGGCTTTAGGCATTGTATGTACTAGCTCTATCTATAAATTCAGCAATATTTGTATCACCCCCTTGTATGTATGTACTTTACCTGAATAAACATTTGAATTTTGAATTTTTTGAATCTATTGAATGAAATAACTAGAGCATCTAAGTCAAACAGTATTTATGTAATGGGTGAATTTAATTTTAGTGGAATAAACTGGCTTAGCAGAACAGGGAATAATGAAGCAGTATATTTTCTACAATTAATTTGACGATTGCTTCCTTAAGCAACACATTAAGGAACCAAAGCGTGAAAATAATATTTTAGACTTAAGAGTTAACTAACAGGGAAATGTAGTTAAATGACATCGAAATAGGGAGTGAGCTAGGGAACAATGATCATAATGAAATCAGATTTAGCATAGAATGGAATTGATTTTTTGGAGAAAATTCTGCTAAAGTGCTAGATTTTCGAAAAGGTGATTTGGAAGCCTAAGAATTTTTTTGAGTGAAATAGATTGGAAAGTCTTGGACATGGGGGATGAGCCGCTCTTGGAGCGAGACGTGAACCCAATGGTGGGTGATTTAAAAAAGGAATTTTATGTGGATTCAAAATATAACTTATTTAAAAATATTCTAAGCAAAACACAGGAATGTAGTATACCATACAAATTGAATAGATCGAATAATAATGACACGAAATGTATAACAAAGCATCTGAAGAACCTTATAGGTAGAAATAAAGCTTGGTACAAAAGGATTAGGAATGGGGGACGTCAGTTTAGAACAAGAATTCGTCCAACTGATTAGAAATGTTAAAACAGAGATAAGGGGGGTGCAAAGAAAAACTATGAAGTTCGCATAGCAGGGCAAGCAAAGACAAATCCTAAAGTTTTTTTTTTCCATTATATCGAACAAAGATTAGGGACTAGATAAGTTTATTAAAAACTGAGACAGATCAGATAATAACGAAGAAATGAGTAGTATTTTTAATAAATATTTTATCTCTGTATTTACTAACGAGGAACTGCAGATTGCAACTGTAAGCATATAATCGTATGTTAAGGTAAGAAACGGAAAGCATATAATATGTTTCTAATTTGGGGGATTAATTAACTTGGTCATTCTACACTGGACGTGTTCTAGTGAATTTATATCCTTTCTATAGTACGGCGACCAAAACTGAACTGCACAATCTAAATGGGACCTAACCAGAGCAAGATATAGTTGAAGAACAACACCAGGTGTCTTATTACTAGTGCTTTGATAAATAAATACCAGTGTCCTATTTGCCATATTATGAACATTTAAGCATTGATTTTGTGGTTTAAAATGCTTACTAATCATAACTCTCAGATCCTTTTCACAATCCGACTTCACAATATCAACACCATCTAGCTTGTATCTTGTAACTCTATCATCATTAGCTAGCCTTAAACACTTATATTTGTCAGCACTAAACTGCATCTGCCAATGTTTTGACTATTTCAAAACCATATTTAGTGAGTAATAGTGAGTCTTTTTCCGTGTTTATTTCTCTACCGATTTTTGTATCATTGGCAAATTTGAAAATATTGCTACACAATCCTGAATCTAAATCATTTATATATATTATGAATAACAGAGATCCCAGGACAGAGCCTTGAGGAACTCCACTTACAACATTTTCCCACTCTGACTTAACCCCATTTATACTAACTCTTTGTTTCCTTGGATATAACCCCTATCCTAATCTAACTTAATACAGCACCTTCAGTACCATGCGTCTATCATTTTAATCAATCTTAAGAGTATCCCACCCTTAAGAGACTGAACAAGAATATAAAATAAATTTGCTAGGTAGTACAATGCCTAGCTTAATTGCAAAGTATTTATAACTTAAATCTATGCCCCTATTTAGGCCTTAAATCTATGCCCCTATGCCCCTGTTACCTAGCAGTAAAATAGGTACCTGGGTGTTAGTCAGCTGTCACGGGCTGCTTCCTGGGGGTTGAGGCCTGGTCAAGGATCGGGCCGCGGGGACACTAAAGCCCCGAAATCATCTCAAGATATGATTATATAGTAATTGGTGCAGACTAGAATAGGTGTATTTAATTACTATTTGATTTTGATTTATTTTATTTATTCAAATTAATCAAATCAAATAGATTTAATAAACCTATTTGATTTAATCTATTTCATTTTATGATATTAATGTTGAGTAACTCCTTAGACTCAAGAATATAACAAAATAAATTTTAAAGTAATGTTTAGTAGCCTCTCATTAAGCATTTATAGTATTTGACGGTGTTTGTTAATTTAACAGCCACATAACCATGAGATTCTCAGGAGAGATGAACACTACCAGAGGTTAAATAATCCTGAAAAGGTCTGGCTGAGAAATGAATTTAGTGTGTGCCCATACGCATATGCCTTCGCAGATAATAATTAATATTTGGGGTTTGAGTATATAGCCCCGCGGTTACTCAATGCCAGTTGTTTTCTGGTGGTTGACAAGGCTCTCAGAGTGAAAACTACAGTCAACCCTATTTGTTTAAAAGATTTTACCATGTTCCTGAGATCTTCTATGATCTCTGTTGGAAAATGAGAGGGATGTATTTCACTGCCTCCTACTTAATTGTGATGGGATCACCAGGCCAATTAATTGCTGCTATCAATATTGGGTTATTGTAAAAGTTACGTGCCGTAGATCCTGTGAATCTAAATATTTGTATCTAAATCAGAGACACAGAAGTAAAGCACCAGGGTACTTGGATATGGCACCTGGATATGACAAACTTTGACCATATGTCCTCATTTATTTGATTAGTAATTGATTATAGCAACACTAGCCTGGTAATCATATAAGTATTATCTAGTGAGATCTATTTATTTTGTAATTAAGTTTTACTGATTCTTAGTTGATGTGCTCTTTGTGCTCCATAACACATCATGCTATTAGGCATCTGGTTTAAAGAACCAGGCATGTGAGGTGGGTAAATTATTTTTTTGTCTTTCTTTAATTATGTTTGGTAGAGAATGGACAGTATCATTAATTGTATTTAGTCCAACACAATTCACATTGAGTTAGTTTAATTAATTTATTAATTAATTTAGATCATCTAGTGCATTATTAAACTTACATTCTCTTTGATTTAAGTAATAAATATATTACTCAAGGGACAGTTTCAGATGCCAGTTTACTGACAGATCATGAGCCCTTTTACGTACATTAATCATACATAAGACAACATAAAATTGTCTGAAAACTGACCATTAGCACACTGACAAAGAAACAGCTAATGTCTCGTTAAGTTGATTAATTTAACAATGAGCAATGGACTATCTAATCTGTGGTTAATATATTATAATTTAAGTAAATAAATTGAGATAATCTCAGCTAGCAAATGTGTAGTGTCCGGGTAGGCACAATCTTGTCATCCAATATGCACTTCTAATTGCGTCACATTCTAAAACATAGCAATAGCCTTGGATAACTCCTGCCAGTAATTCTAATATTTTTATCACAATACCAATATATAACTATTCATAGATTCATAACTCCATCACTCACAAGTTTAGGATGAGTTTGATGATGGGGTGAGACTCACAAGTTTATGTTTTGTAATTCTATGATGCAACCACCCCAATTTAGGAGCAAGCGTTTGCTCCTAAGAATATACCAACTGATCAGATAATGAACCTAAACAGTGTTGCAGAAACACTTATCATCTTAAGTGTGGTCGGAGATAATCTGTTTAGATCTTCGACGCGTTGAACTGCTATAAGTAACACGCTTTAACTATAATCACGGAGTAATAGCGTCGTCGCGTGTGTTAGCTGATGTGGCAGCGTAAGCATCTATAAGCAATGGTGTCAGAACCTTATTCTCCGTCTCACCTCCAGTGGGAGAGATAATTTTTTTTCTTATTAAGTTATTCAGGACAAAAAGCAATTCTTTTATACTAGTTCGAATCAACAATGTTGAAAAAGTTTTTTTAAGAACAGGTTGATTTATTCAAACTATATGCCTTATAGAACAAATATGAAGATCAATTCAGTCGTCGAATGATATACTGTTGTGTACGGCATAAGCCGGGATGGCGTCGTTGGACTTGTAAGCTACTAAGCACTTGTAAGTTGAACATTATTATGCTAATTTGACTTAAACAGAGAGAACTCACAAAGATATATTTTATTAGGCTTTGATAGTAAATATTCCCACGATCGAGGTGATATTGAATAGTGAAGGAGGTAATACTGACTGGTTACAGACTGTACAAGGGAGGTAATACTGACTGGTGAGAGACTGTACAAGGGAGGTAAAACCGACTGGTGGGAGACTGGACAAGCAACGAGAGAGACTACAAGGGAGGTAATACTGACTGGTGAGAGACTGTACAAGGGAGGTAATACTGACTGGTGAGAGACTGTACAAGAGGAGGTAATACTGACTGGTGAGAGACTGTACAAGGGAGGTAAAACCGACTGGTGGGAGACTGGACAAGCAACGTAATATTGACTGGTGAGAGACTGTACAAGGGAGGTAATACTGACTGGTGAGAGACTGTACAAGGGAGGTAATACTGACTGGTGAGAGACTGTACAAGGGAGGTAATACTGACTGGTGAGAGACTGTACAAGGGAGGTAATACTGACTGGTGAGAGACTGTACAAGGGAGGTAATACTGACTGGTGAGAGACTGTACCAGGGAGGTAATACTGACTGGTGAGAGACTGTACAAGGGAGGTAATACTGACTGGTGAGAGACTGAACAAGGGAGGTAATACTGACTGGTGAGAGACTGTACAAGGGAGGTAATACTGACTGGTGAGAGACTGTACAAGGGAGATAATACTGACTGGTGAGAGACTGTACAAAGGAGGTAATACTGACTGGTGAGAGACTGTACAAGGAACGTAATACGGACTGGTGAGAGACTGAACAAGGGAGGTAATACTGACTGGTGAGAGACTGTACAAGGGAGGTAATACTGACTGGTGAGAGACTGTGCCAGAGTTGGGTAAGAGTGGAGAGTGGAGGAAGGCGACGCCCCTGGTGCCTCCTTCCCACAGTGTAGACTTGGTGCCCCTGAGCGGCCAGTTGCTAGCGTTCCCAGTCGGCCCACCATTCTGCAACAACAACAACAGACAAGCTTCAAGCACTCACCACCAGCATGCGTCTTTATGGCAAACTCTGGAAGGCTTTTAATATTATAAAAGCAACACAAATTCATTATGAAACCATTGTCGTGATCATTGCAATAAAACAAAATATAATGATAATACCTTCTGCTCTCGCTGGAGTTAATGAAATCCTTCCGCTTCAACATAGATATTTTCCCATTGAGCTTTGAACATAAAAAATTTCTTTCTTGAAATAATAAAGCTTGTTATTAAATAGGCCACATCGATGACAGTTATACTTTGTAGTTCAGCTAATACACTCAAAGTACTCCACACTTACGAGGGAGGAGGCAGCGAGGGGGGGGGGGGGGGGGGGGGGTTGCTCGATGTAAGAAAGAGAAACTCTTGTAAAGAGTCTCTCAGTAGAGAGACATAGAAACAGCAGTGTTAAAGCTGAACGAACACTCTGGAACTCTTGTTGACCTCCTGCATATGGAATCCCCATCAGTACAATAGTCAGTTCTGCACATGTGCAGTGTTGTCAAACCAGGAAAATCTCATCCCCAGAACAGTGTAAACAGCAAAGAACATACATGGTTAAAAAGTAGTTTCAGTGCTAGAAAATATGCATAAACAACAGTGTTAAATTAAAACAAAACAGGCTGGATGTTTATAAGATATAAAATTAACTATTTGAAGATACAAATGTGTATGAAACATTATTGGAACCAGGCGGTTGGACCAGGCGGTCTCGTTGGGCTGTTGTAGGCAGGGTGAAGAGGAGGCCGTTCGTTGCTTGAGTGAGAGGCGATGGTCTCCTACAATAACGATAAGTGCATTGTTCTCATTCGTGCTATAGCGGTGCTCCTTCTCTGTGTTTGTGATAGGCAGTTTTAAACTAAGTTTGTTTATAGAACCCTGTGTGTAGGTAGTGTTATGTGTTATTTTTATACATTCACTCAGATTTCTGTGACACGTCGTCTATATCCCATCAAACTTGGTCCTTGTTTGTAAACTGTTTACGTGCCAGGATTTTGTGTATGGTTAAAACCCATGTTACCTTTATAGCTCACCAAGTAAGTGTAAAATGGCATGGTGACCTTAAGTCCCAGTTTTTGTGTATCCAATAGTCAATGCATCCCTAAGGCTTATGTATGCTGAAAAGTATCCCTCTTAATCTCAACAATCCATTAACATAACAGAGTACCCCTTATTTATTCAGTGTAAAATAAACCTGTGTTGCTCAGTAAAACCCAGTTGGGAAATTGTACCCCAAGGTGTATTTCTTGTCCACAGTAAAATAAGATTTATTGTCGGTCAAGTGTTTTGTGGAATATATACATGCATATCCCTTCCATTATTTATAAGAAAGTAAGAACTGGTTTAGTTAGTTGTCCTCTAGAGTACGACTTTGAAGCCCAGACTTTACAATGATAATGGTGAGAGAAGATGTGGTAGAATTCCACAATGGTAAAGTAACTTTAGATTTCTTTTTATTTCTAAGGGATTTATATAGATCATTACAGTTGTGGCTGGAGTAAACAGGTGTACAGTTGTAGTTGGAGAGAACAGATGTATTGTTGTTGCTGGAGTGAACAGGTGTACAGATGTGGCTGGAGTGAACAGGTGTACAGTTGCAGCTGGAGTGAACAGGAGTAAAGTGGTGGCTGCAGTGAACAGGTGTTTAGTTGTGGCCGGGGTGAAAAGGAGTACAGTTGTGGCTGGAGTGAACAGATGTTCAGCTGAGGCCGGGATAAAAAGGTGTACAGTTGTGGATGAAGTGAATAGAGGTACAGATCTGGCTGGAGTGAACAGGTGTATTGTTGTGGCTGGAGTGAACAAGTGTGCAGTTGTGGCTGGAGTGAACAGATGTGATTAGACACTCGCCTGGCGTTCCGCGAGCGCTATGTCACGGGCTCGTATCCTGGCCGGGGAGGATTTACTGGGGGCAAATCCTTAACTGTAGCCTCTGTTTAACGCAACAGTAAAATGTGTACTTGGATGAAAAACCGATTCTTCGTTGTGGGGATCGTACTCCAGGGACCTGCCCGAAACGCTACGTGTACTAGTGGCTGTACAAGAATGTAACAACTCTTGTATATATCTCAAAAAAAAAAAAAAAATAATATTAAGTTGAGGCCGGAGTGAAAAGGTGTACAGTTTTGGATGGAGTGGACAGGTGTACAGTTCTGGCTTGAGTGAACAGGTGTACAGAGTTGGCTGGAGTGAACAGGTGTATTGTTGTGGATGGAGCAACCCACTCTCGCACAAGACAGCACATATATGACTTAATGCTTAAAGTCAATATGTTAAATATGAATTAGTACATATGTGGTATATTCCCATTTGCAATTTTTCCAAAGCCCAAACTCTTCCTCACGTACCAATTTACGTCTCACAGAACCCGTCCATCGCCGTAGACAGCAGAATAGTCGTGATTGGTTCACTTATAATGAAAATTGTAGTTTTCAGGTCCCACATGGGTTGTGAAATTTACCTGGTATTGTCCATGCTCTTGGAGTATTACAGATCAGCTACATCCTATTGAAGTTTCGTAGTTTTGTTTTGAGAAATATTAGTTGTTCTTAGTAAATTATAATAAGCACTATAAATTATTACATAGAATAATAGTGCTTCACCAATCAACATTATATACACTAGTTTATGCTTTAAAAATCTTAAAAGAATGTATTGTAGCAACGTAAATAGAAAACGATGTTCTTTGGAATGTCTTTGGGGGGTAAACTACTGCAAACAGGATGGTACAGAGTCTACTACCTACTGTAGGATGGGTATAGTGTCTAATACCATCTGTTAGGTGTTTATAGGATCCACTACCACCGGTTAGGTGGGTAAGGGGTCCATACCTCTTGTAGGGTGGGTCTGGGCCCAATAACTACTCATAGGATAGGTATGGGATCCACTACCGCCTACTGGATGGGTATATGGTCCACTACCACACACAGGATGTGTATGGCGTCCACTACCGCCTGCAGGATGGGTATGGGATCCTCTCGTGCCCACAGGACGAGTATGGGGGTCCACTTCCGCCTACAAGATAGGTATGGGGGTCCACAAGATGAATATGGGGTCCACTACCACACACAGGAAGGGTATCTGGTCCAATACCGCCCACAGGATGGGTATGGGGTCCACTACCACCTACAAGATGGGTATGGGGTCCACTACCACCCCCAGGATGAGTATAGGGTCCACTACCACTAACAAGATGGGTGTGGGGTCCACTACCACACACAGGATGGGTATCGGGTCCACTACCACCCACAGGATAGATATGGGGTCCACTAACAGCCACAAGATGGGTATGGGGTCCACTACCACCGACAAGATGGGTATGGGGTCCACTACCATCCACAAGATGGGTAAAGGGTCCACTACCACCCACAAGGTGGGTATGGTGTCCACTACCACCCACAGGATAGGTATGGGGTCCACTACCAACCACAAGATGGGTATGGTGTCCACTACCATCCACAAGATAGGTATGGGGTCCACTAGCTATAGGTATGATAGGTATGGGGTCCACTACCACATTGGGGTCCACTAGCTGTAGGTATGATAGGTATGGGGTCCACTACCACATACAAGATGGGTATGGGGTCCACTACCACCGACAGGATGGGTATGGGGTCCGCTAACACCCATAGGATGGGTAAGGGGTCCACTACCACCCAAAAGATGGGTATGGGGTCCACTACCACCCACAAGATAGGTATGGGGTCGACTACCACCCACAAGATGAGTATGGGGTCCACTACCACCCACAGGATGAGTATGGGGTCCAATACCACCCACAAGATGGGTATGGGGTCCACTACCACCCACAGAATAGGTATGGGGTCCACTTGCACCCATAAGTTAGGTATGGGGTCCACTACCACCCACAAGATGGGTATGGGGTCCACTACCACCCACAAGTTGGGTATGGTGTCCACTACCACCCACAAGATTGGTATGGGGTCCACTAACACCCACAAGATGGGTATGGGGTCCACTACCACCCACAAGATTGGTATGGGGTCCACCACCCACAAGATAGTTATGGGGTCCACTACCACCCACAAGATTGGTATAGGGTCCACTACCACCCACAAGATTGGTATAGGGTCCACTACCACCCACAAGATAGGTATAGGGTCCACTACCACCCACAAGATGGGTATGGGGTCCACTACCACCCACAAGTTGGGTATGGGGTCCACTACCACCCACAAGATTGGTATGGGGTCCACTACGACCCACAAGATTGGTATGGGGTCCACTAACACCCACAAGATGGGTATGGGGTCCACTACCACCCCCAAGATAGGTATAGGGTCCACTACCACCCACAAGATGGGTATGGGGTCCACTACCACCCACAAGATTGGTATGGGGTCCATTAACACCCACAAGATGGGTATGGGGTCCACTACCACCCACAAGATGGGTATGGGGTCCACTATCACCCACAAGATAGGTATGGGGGTCCACTACCACCCACAAGATAGTTATGGGGTCCACTACCACAACAAGATTGGTATAGGGTCCACTACCACCCACAAGATTGGTATAGGGTCCACTACCACCCACAAGATAGGTATAGGGTCCACTACCACCCACAAGATTGGTATAGGGTCCACTACCACCCACAAGATAGGTATAGGGTCCACTACCACCCACAAGATAGTTATATGGTCCACTACCACAACAAGATTGGTATAGGGTCCACTACCACCCACAAGATTGGTATAGGGTCCACTACCACCCACAAGATTGGTATAGGGTCCACTACCACCCACAAGATGGGTATAGGGTCCACTACCACCCACAAGATGGGTATGGGGTCCACTACCACCCACAAGATAGTTATGGGGTCCACTACCACCCACAAGATGGGTATAGGGTCCACTACCACCCACAAGATTGGTATAGGGTCCACTACCACCCACAAGATTGGTATAGGGTCCACTACCACCCACAAGATGGGTATGGGGTCCGCTACC